GGAAAATATCAAACACAGGATCACCCAGAACCTCTCCTCTCACCGGCACTTCATCTATTGGTGGCGACACTGTGGATATTAGCTTTGCGACTTCACACCAGGGATTACCACCACCCACTCTATTAAGAGTGTCAGACTTATCCAGGCCTTTAGGGGTAGAGATAGCCATTAGAATCCCAACACTTAGCCCACTGTACCACTCTGGCTCCTTGAGTCAAAGCAGTTCCCTTCTTTATTGTTGTCATGGAAGCCATGCTGCCTCAGGCTGACCCCAGGGGTTAAAAAGCAGAATGGCTTCCTAGGGCTTTCTGGGCTGTCAATCCCCAGGAAGCAGATGGCCAGGTCTTTTGTTCTGTGGTATTTTGTGTGAGTTCTAATCTTCAAACGTTAGCTTAGTTTTCCAAGCTAGCTAATGGCCACCATGATTGGCTTGAACATTGCAACCATTGTGAGGACAGTGCAGGATGGGACAGTGTTTTGTTTTGTTGTACACACGGTGACTCTGAGTCAGTCTACTCAATAGCACCGAACAACGATATGGAAGCACACGCTTCAAATCCCTAGGGATCTCCCCACTACTTATTAGGCAGTCTACTCTAAAACACCTACTGTGTATAGTAGGAAGTCAATAGATATTGATAGTCTTCTCTTTATAATTTTTCTTTGGTTGGAGCAAACAATGCTCTTGTTTCCCTCTATTTCTCTCTCTCTCTCTCTCACACACATATATGTTTGATGCTCTCTTATATGCTTATACACTCATAGTTGTATATATATCCATGTGCATACATGTTTATTGTATCTGTCTATATATGTATAGTCATTTATCATGTAATGTCCATGATGATCTGTGAAAAAGGATGCTACATGTTTTATATATTGTGAAAATACCTCATTGTATGTTTACATACCAAATAGATACGCCTACATTGCCAGTAAAAGCTTTCACTGACTTCTCACTTTTGTGTTGTTTATAACCTTTCATTTCACTTTCAATCAGCACTTCCACTTTGAATCTTGCTTCTGCGATCACTATCACTTGTTTTGATGCATTTGGGAACCCTACTTTATTTCACAGTAATTGTGATAGTTATACAAATTCATGTCAACTTGATAAAAGAATGAAGGGGTGGGTGTGGGTCTAGCTTTTCAATCAGGTCACCGCCTGATTGATCCCTCCTTGTGGGTGTGGCCTTCTCATGAGGATTCTGGGAAATTCTCTCTCTCTTGATTTTGCCATCAGAAGAGTTGGGTCATTCTCTCTTTCTCACACACTCTCTGCTTCACATTCCTGACAAGCCACATGGCCCACACTGATGGCAGCCAGAACCCTGGAGATGCATCCACTGCCCTTGGACCCAGAGGCCTTTCCACCCATCGGCCTGCGGTCTTCCTGCATTCAGCATCATTGCATGTGGGGTGTGAGTATGAAGAGGAATTCATGGGCTAATATTGAACTTATGGGCTACTATCTAACTTATGGACTTGATCTGCATGGGACTGGGATGTTCTAGTGATGTATAATTACTTCTTGATATAAAGTTCTCCGTTACATATATATGAGCGTCTTTCTATTTTTTCTCTAGTCAACCTGGCCTAACAAAGTAATACTTCCGGTAAAAAATTAAACATATTGCTACAGCACTCAAGAAACTTGAAATACATGAGATTGGATGCTGATGCCCAACAAAGTGTGTTATATAGTAAATGTTTTGTTTGTAAGTAGGAAAGTTTACATTAAAATAACAGTATAGTATGTACATAAGCCAAACTCAAGACTGTCCAGTGAATTGACTCATAGTGACCCTATATGACAGGATAGTAGTGTCCCCTTTGATTTGCCCCCTCTTTGCAGGGGCTGGATGCCTTGTCTTTCTCCCTACATAAACCCACAACAGGCATTTATTCTATCGACAGTTGTATTATTGATTACATGAGCGGGGTTCAAAGTTTGTGGGGAAAAATTCCATTAACTTTTAATTTCCAAAGCTTTTTGACACGCCTTCATGTGTATACGGTGCTTTTATACTTCTGGTGGCATACGTGCATTGTGCATGAAGTACATGAAGTACACATGTTGCATTGGTAGCATATGTGCATTGTGCATGAAGTACACATGTTGCATTGGGGAAGCTGTTTTCTCACTATGTCCAGTGATGCTCTGCTATGTCTTACTCTCCAACTGGGGCTTCTGCACTCTATTACATTATTCATATAAGCCAGCTCCCCTGATTATTTGCTTAGCATACAGATTGAATAAGTGTGGTATGAAGAAAACGGTGGCATGAGGATTGAAAGAAAGCTTATTAACAACTTGTGATACGTAGATGATACAACATTGCTGGCTGAAAGTGAGGAAGACTTGAAGAATTGGTTGATGAAGATCAAGGATTGCAGTCTTCAATATGGATTATTACTCAATGTAAAGAAAACCAAAATCCTCACAACTGGACCAATAGATAATGTCATCATAAATGGAGAAAAGGTTGAAGTTGTCAAGGATTTTGTCTTGCTTGGATTCACCATCAATGCTCCTGTAAGCAGCAGTAACAGGTCAAAAGACAAGTTATATTAGGAAATCTGCTGCACAAGACGTCTTCAGAGGACCGCAAAACAAGATGCTACTTGGCGGACGAAGGTGTGCCTCCCCCAAGCCATGGTATTTTCAATTGCCTCACATGCATGCGAAAGTTGGGCATTGAATAAGGAAGTCCATAGAAGCATGGCTGCATTTGAATGGAAGCACTGGAGATCATTGACAGTGCCATGGACTGTTAAAAGGACAAACCTATCTTCCTTGGAAAAAGAGCTGCCAGAGTGCTCCTTAGTGGCAAGGATGGCAAGATCTCCTCTGACATACATTGGCCATATCATTAAGAGCAGTCCCTAGAGAAGGACATCATGGTTAGTAAAGTAGAGGGGCATCAAAAGGAGGAAAGCTGTCAAGGAGATAGATTGTCACATTGGCTACAAAGGAACAGTTGTGAGGCTGGTGCAGGATCAGGCAGTGTTTCATTCTGTTGTGCATAAGGTCCCTATGGATCGGAACTGACTTAATGGTGCCTAACAACAATAGACACAATATTATAATCTTAACGGGTTTGAAATATATAATGTTGGATGCTGCCCGAATGGGCCTTATGCATAGTTATATATATATATATATATATATATTCTACACACACACACACACACACACATACATACAACACACACACACACACACACACAATTCTTATTTTCCCAGAGAATATCTGAGGCTAGCAGTTAGGTGACAAGCAATTTTATTTTGCAAAACAATCACTATACAGCAACAAATACATTTGCAAATTTGATTGGAAAACATGAACTAACTACAACCAGCCATTGAAGAAGTGCCTTTCTATCGTCACAGGTTTTAGAATTTCAGAAGAAAGAAACCCTCACAGATTTGTCGTGGTGTGTGGGAACCTTGCAATCCCAGCATACAGAGTATACTTTTTGTTGATCTTTTTTTCCTTTTTGCTAAAGTTGAAGTAATTTTTTATTTCTTAATGGTTGGTATTTTCTGAGTCTCTAAGACATTTTTTTTTCCTGCGGGGGGACCTGGCCTCAATCTGCACACAACCAGGTCAAACATTCTAGGTGTAAAAGTACAAGCATTGTGGATTTCCACATATCAATCTTGAAGGAATGCCTAGAAATGGCCTTTTGCAAGCAAATGCAAAGTTTACGCTACTTTCGATCGTGAATAGTTTCTTTTCTTTCTTTATGTGGAATGAAAAACAGGAGACACACTATGACAGAATCTACCACACTCTGACGATTTCTGCAATAACACTGATATGATGCCCTATTTCGGCCAGTGGCCCCCCTTTCTGCAGTATGACTGCGTGAGTGTATGGAGAAGGCCGGCCACAATCAGTACATTCTCCCATTTCACCTGTCCTCTCTTCAGCTTGCTTCAGTCACACCTCCCTGATAGGTTGCATGGGTGTCTTCTGTGTGGGTGGGATTTTGGCCCATCGTCCTGCTGGAACTCAGCAGGTGAATCCAGAGAGAGTTGTTCCTAAACGAACATGGCCTTAAAACTCATTATGAACCCGGATCTTTCCTGCATCCTTATAAAGCACCTGATTCGCAAGTGCAGGAGACCCCCAGAGAGTGAGTTCACTTGAGGAGTTGGCCTTGCAACTCTTTGCACCTCTGGATTGCTTCTGTATCATGAAACAGCTCCTCGAAGGCTAAAGCCAAAGAGAACCTGGCACTGGTCGATCTAGAAGGGGAACTGTGATGTTTTCCTTTCTAGATCAGCGTATGTGTCCCCACAAAAGTGGTGCTCAAAAAGCTTAATCAGAGTCGTTACCTTGAGAGTGAACGCGAGATGGGTTCCACACCCCACACCCAGGAGAAGACGTGCAAACGATCAGGTCCTTTTGGTTAGAACTCCAATCCCATAGAAAACAAGGATATATATTCACTGTAGGAACTTGGTGGTGATTGGAAACACATCTTTTTTTTAAAATACCAGATCTAATAATTTAGTGGCTAATATAAACTTGATTTTGAACATGTATTTCAGGAAGCTGCATTTGAACATTTCGAGCGTCTTCACTGTCTTAACTTTTATAAAATACTTAAACATTAAAAAAAATTGCCTTTTATACAGGTTAAATCTGTTCTAACTAGCAGTTAGCTTCTTTCCCCCAAACTGTAATGACTATCTAACACATATCAACACACATAAGAAAAAACCATGAGTCTCCGCACAGCTATTTCTTCTTTTCCTATTTCCAGATGCATCTCATCTAATGAACTAATGAATAAATTGCCTGGACTAGTGAAATCAAACCTTCCAGCAATTACAAGGCAGGAACATCCAGAGTCCTACTTGACAGTTTCTATGTTTCTGACTGTCATATAAAATAACTGATTTTAAATGGCCTGATGCGTTTGCCTGTGTAAAAACTCTCAGTTGAGAATGAATGCTGTGGGTTGGCGTCTGGTGGCAGGCACGCTGTACGTGATGACCAATGAATGACAAAATGACATCCGTGTCTCCTTGTCTCTGCATCTGCTGGCTTTTCCTTTCATGCTCCTCCGTCTCCAGTATGTCAGCCCATGCTCATTCTTCCCCCTTCAGATTTGGGAATTGATGTGATTTAATGATCCACCTACCTGACCCACTGCCTTTCACCGTTCAGATTCCGCTTACCTGCCCTGAGCAAGAAGAACGGGAGAAACATATCTTTAAAGAGCTATATCCAGCCACCCCTATGGCTCATGGCCCTATTCAGGTCACTGGCTATGTCATTGCCTGCTTGTAAGTCTAGGACGAGCACTTTGTGAGAGGAATTGATTAATTGATTTATGACCTGGGCTGCATGTAAGGTCAGAAAACAGTATGCTCTAGTGGTAAACGTAGTATGAAATCACACAGTGTTCTTTCATGGAATATAATGTTGGAATCCTGAAAAACTGATTTCCTTATCTGCATCTCCCATGTATTATTATTTTTTTCTTTCTCTGATCAAGCAAGCTTGATTCTGGGAAGGGTAGTCAGACATCATCTAACATGGAATTTAATAAGCAGCTAATACTCTTATTTGGGGAAAAAATGGAATATCATGTCCCTGACTTTCACTGTGGGTTTCAACTTTAGCAAATGAAAAAAAGAAAAGAAAAAGAAATCTTAAGAAGTCTGTTTTGTAAATGATTATAGGAATAAAACCCAAACTATTCTGTTATTAAAACTGAAACACAACCATATCTTAAGCCAACAATCTGTAGACCCGTTTATGTATAATGGGACCCACCCCCACAAACTCCATGTTGGGGAAAAGCAAAGAAAAACCATTTTTTTCCTAGTATCACGGGTGAGACTTGTATCTGGCACTAAAACAAGGTTACAGCTTGGAGTTGTTACAGAAAGCAACTTCATGCTAACATCTTTGTTTTTTTCTTTTTTTAATGAAGTCGGGAAAGATCGCTGCTAACATCTACTTTCACATCCCTAAAACTGCAACACCGAAGGGTGCAGGGCACACAGATACTGTGAATAAAGAGTGTAATATTCAAGTACATGAGGAAGTATCACAAATGGCCACAGAGAAATATATATATTTATATCTATAATACTGTATCAAACAGATGGAAAGGGGGTGTGAAACTGGTAGTGTAGACATAAATCTAGCCAATTAACTGACATTCTAATCAGACAAGAGTCTGTCATAATGCAAGTGCCTCATTCCTAAGCGATGCACTTTTACACCACTGTCTCCACCACAGCTCAAATGCTTTGTAGCTAGTTTTTAATTAGTTAAATAATTTATTGGTTTCACTTATACTCTGATATAATTATCCAGGTCCCAAATGTTAATAACTTAATTGAATCTTTCTTCCCATTTATACAAAATAACATTAAGAAAACCTGTTATTTCTTACGTGCTCTTTCCTTCCTGCAATCAGACTTCTTGACTGAATGTAACCTGTAAGAAGTTTTAATGGGCGGGTTGTATTGTATCTTTTTCACCCATAAACAGAACAGTGAAAGGAGCGGCATGGATTTTAACAAGGCCTTTCAGAGTGTCGTGGTAGCCTTCAGGCACATGAAAGGTAAAATGCAATTTTATAAATCATAATACTCCATGCAAAACAGAGCAGAGCAAAAAATAATTGTCCGATTGTACCCATGTAAAGCCAGCGTCTTCTTGTTGCAAATGGAAATCAGGTCAACTTCTGCATATTCTATTCATTTTTTTTATAAAATTATAACAATGACTACAGTTTGGGGGTGAGATTATTTCTTTTATGGTGTGTAAAGGATGACCGTAACACCTGCTCAGAGCCTGCTCCTGCCAAAGAGCTCATGCCTAAATATATGACTTCGATGCGCAAGGAGAAATATTCACAAGCCCTGCTTTGCGAGTGCGGCGGTGACATCTTCCGCCAAAGTGGCGAGCTGAGGGGATTCGAGCAGGTTGATGCTTCCCGAGGAGGACACGTTGCTGAGGCGTCGCGGTGATGCCACACTGGATCTGCCTGGAGACTGCGTAATGATCTCGGCCCCGTGGTCCACACGGGCCTTAGCGTGCTCTCGGAAGTTCAACTTTTGGCTGTCAATCTGTTCAAGGCAAGCATCAGTTCATTAACTCAGGCATCGGAACTAGCCCCTGGTGCTTTCTTTATACCCCAGAGCTGATTAATAGGAGTTCTACACAGCTCGGTGACTCCCACTTCTCATTGGTCTAGGTTTTCAATTGGAGACCCATTTTGATAAAGAGTATAGCCGAAGGATTAAGGGGCGTGGGGAGGGTGGGAGACACGTTTTTTTTCTCAGGACTGTGTTGCTTACCTTGATATTACCACCCCCGGGTACATGGTGAGCATTGTCTAGCGAACCGACTTTAGCTTGGGCCTTTTCTTTGAAATCCAGTTTTACGCTCTCAATTTTCACACGCCCACCACCTATGCAGGAGAAGAGAAAGGTTGACATTGCTAAATGCCTTGCTTAAGTGAAATCTTATATTTAGGGTGATGATTTCCCATAAATGGCATAGCAGATGGCCTATACATCCACTGCCATCGAGTAGTCCATTCCCACTCACAGTGACCCTATAGGGCAGACGGCGTCTTAGGGTTTCTGAAACTGTGAACCTTTACTGGAGCAGGAAGCCTCATTTTTCTCTCTCTAAGTGGCTGGTGCATTTGAACCACCAACCTTATGGTTAGCAGTCTAAAGCTTAACATATAGCACCATTAAGTCTCCTTAGGTGAACCATAGCAAATCACAGATTTAATCAACTCTACTACCCCTCTGATCATAGATCAGAGTTAAAAATGACTCATGAAAGGAATCTTCTAGAAATGTTAGCCTATACCAAATGCCCCATACAATCAAGATAATGACATCTACCTTATGTTATGATGTGTGTTGCTTTACATGTGAATAACTTAAGAAATCAGAAGCTTTTCTTTCTTATCAGTATCCCAAAACTCTAAAATGACCCAGTGAAAAGAGTCTTTTATGCCTAAGGGAGCAAATTACATTGAAATGACTCTTCTTTCAGGTAAAAGGTCATTGGCCAAGGACATTGAGGCTGCAGATCTGTTCATTTGGAAATGTTCATCATTGATTGCTTGACTGATGGAATGAGTCAGGAGCGAAGTCGTTTATAACTAGTCAATGCTAAGAGCACTCATTTTAATTAGCAGATGGAGTGAAAGGAAGAGAATCTTACATCTTTGTCTGGTACAGATGCTGTAGGACAAATCTGACACTGACGTCAACCTGATAACATTGAGGCAGGGTGCCATTTTCCAAGTGCACCTCGTCTGAAAAATTCATAGGTCGCTATTTGACTAGGGTGCTGTGGGTTACATTGCAGTGTGGTCTTCCTCAGCTCTCCATTTCTTTCTTAGGTTTCAAATGCAGGGGTTCTACACCGAGTAGACCATTTCTGAACACCTCCTGATGTCTTTGACTGGAACTCATGCTAGATTAGACTTATTTTTTCTATTCCTTTTCACTTGAGAGATTTACTTTCATTTTCATGAGCATCTTTTTCTGGAAGTCCAATCATGAATGATATTGACTCTCTACTAACATTGAGTTTGTCTTGGGATTTTGATCTTACAAATACCAGGGACTCATGAAAACGTAGAAAATAATTCCATTTTGAATTCTTTTTTTTTTTAATGTATAGAAGAGAGAGTTTCATATAAAGGGTAAGTGTACTTTAAGAAAGCATCCAAACCCAGTGATGTCCAAGCCCGTAAGTCCAACATTAGCCCATTTTGAATTCTTGGTGTTCCCATAGCTAAATGAGAGGTCAGGTAAGACTTTTTGTGGCTTTTTAAAGCCTATGATATTCCCCCCAGGCGTTACTTAGACATTTATATCCACATCTAGTTACCTGACAGTGGGTTTAGTGAAGTTTTATAGGTTTAATGGGTTTTATTCTGAAGAAACACCTAATCATGCTTCTGAAGATTCAGCATGTGCATGATGTTCTTTAGCTCACGTTTACAGGACATGCAGTTGTCCTTCACACAAACGATGACTAATTGCAGGGAGCATCATTCTTTCAACATTTGACCTGTCCACAGGAGTGTCACTTGTTAGAATGGAATGCATATGATTATAATGATTCACTAATGTAATCATTAAATGAAGATGCCTGGTTTCTAACTAGATGACATTAATTTCTTTGGGATATTAGTTCTTATTTGTTTTGGTAGTCTTGGATATAAATTGCTTAAGTTTTCCTTTATGGTTATATGTTGGATCAACTTATAGCAACTATTTATTATATATATATATATATATATATATATACACACACACACACATTTCATTGAATTGTTTTTGTTGAATTGTCTTTGGGGTAAATTTTCAACAACTTTGTTAAATTTTCCTTGGGATAAAAAATAGTCAAAACCCAACAATATTGTAATACTGACCCAAAATATTTTCTGAAAAAGAGCCCTGAGAATACCATTTCTACTAATGCTTTACTAGGGAAGCACAATTGAATTCAGACACCCTTGGCTCTGAAGAAGTCTGAGCTTTCTAAATCTTGAAGTGAAGGGAGAAGTGGAGAAGGAAAGATAGCTCCATTTGTGCCGCCAGGTGTCACCTTTTGTTTCTCCTTAGCGATTCCATAGTTTCAAAGTAACTCTGCAAAACTTGCTGTTGTCAAGGATGATTGTGCTAACATTTCTCTTTCGGTTATTACAGAAGAGCTACATTTAGTAATAGGTGGGAGTTCATGACAATAGTCTTTTATGACCATATCTTCACAGGAGGTTTCCTTTCGACATAAGTTATTTTTAGGCAAATTTGACTAATCGTAAGCATCCTGTCTAGAATTAAAAGAATCTAGCATTTTCCTTAGTATTCTGGAAGGAAATAAACAATATGACCACATAGTTCAGATATGCTTGTTGACACAGCAATGCAAAGTCAACCAGGTGTTGGTAGGCTTGAGTTTCTGACGTGGAATTAAGTAGGGCACGAGACCATATCCCTGCTCTCTTGGAAGGCAGCTGTGCTCATGATGCTACCACCAACGTAACCCTGCTGTCTTATGAATGGCAGAAAAATCAGGTCCAGAGAGACAGCTTAGAGACAAGGATTCCAGATAGGATATTTCTAATGCCTTGATGTTTCTCTGGGAACAACTTTAGTCAAGAGTTAAGCTTGATTTCCAGTGGATTTTCAACTAACACATCTTTCTTAATAATATTTCCTTATCAGATGTCTTATTGGGCCCAATTGCTCCTACGCCTAATTCTTAAAATTACATTTGAGATAACGATTGGTACAAATAACCTTTCACCTGGTTCGAATCCTCTGATGCTTTAACCGTAGATGTTTAAAACCAATTGCTTTCCTCTTGTCCTCTATAAATCAACAGTATATATACATTGTTTCAAAGTAGTCTCAAGAAAGGTATACAATTGAGAATTTTCTATTATTGCACATCTATAATGGTAAGATTTAGCAAAAATCAAAACAAAAAGACATGATAGAAAGATGACTCATGGTATGTTAGACTTACACTTTAAAGGGAGAAATCACACCTTGTAAATATGAATACACATTCTACTGTACATCACTAGTCTTATGAGAAAAACAAAAGGGGTCCATTGCCAAAATAGTTGAGAAAATACTGCATTCTACCAAGGATTTACAATATTAATGCTGAGAATTTCATCAGATAAATAAATTTGTTCAGCTTTTCTTAAGCAGAATTCTTACTTCATATACCCAGAAAAAGTCCCATGAAAAATCATTGTAAATGCTGCTTTCAATTAATATAATGCATTGATAAATGGTAGAAGGTAGTTTATAAACTACACAGTCCAATAAGCTTTTTTGAAATATGTAGTCTACAGAACACATTTTATATGTTGTGTACATTAAGGCAAAGTCATGTGAAATGCCTTCTAACTTCTTAACCTGTTCTATGATATGAAGCTGCTTCACAGTAATTTGGTTCACTTCCCTAAATGAAGACAACTTGAGATTTTTAACGTAAGTTTCCTCTAGTAAAAGCATAAAGTATCAGCATTTTAAAATAGCCTTCTGACGAGGTCATGCACAGCCCAAATACATTAGAAATTTACTGACCCTACTGAATGCTCCTGAGCTTTCTAAAAATTATTAATTTACCTGGCCTGTGGCGGATATTCTTCAGAGAGCCACATTTGGATGTCACATGGCTTAGGTCGATCTTCTTGGTAACAATTTGTACCTGTGTGAACCACATAAAAGAATAGGCTTGAAGAAATTTTGTCATGGAAAAGAAAACCCCCTGAAACTCATACGATTAAGAAACATACCTAAATTCACAGCACATAACCAGAAAGTCATACTTAAGTACACACACACACACACACACAAATATTCCCCAGATCTTCCCAAATATTTGGATAGGAAAGAAAGAGCCAAGTGAAAGGCAATCCTGCAACAGAAGTTCTGATTAGTCTGAAAGAGATCAAGCCTCAAGGGACAGCAACACCTGGTTGACTAGGGCACGCTCACTCAGAGAACTAAGTTTCACCGTGTTAAATCTTCCTGTGAGCAAAGAGCCAATAAAAGAGAAGGAGAGTTATTCTATAAGAATTTTTTTACAGAATAGTGAACAGCATTACTCAGCGATACAAGGTGAACTAGCAAGCAAAAGCAAGCTATAATGATGCGTTCCTAAAATATAATTAAGTTACCATATTTTTTTGTTCAATGGATTTTTTTATGTACACCAATTTATAAAATAAATTTTATAGCAATACTGTTTCTTTATGGTATGTTAACAACATTTCCCAATAGTTGCAGCAGGGCCCACCTGCCTACCTGCATCAGTGGTATGAGTTCTAAATCACACAATCTGGGAAGTGGGCCAAGGTATGTGAATATTTTAAAAAGGAAATCTTTAGAGAGAAGTTTAAGGCTATGGTTTTGTAGTTAGAATTTTTCCTGACTTCCTGTAGAATCCTTATCCCTATTGATCCATTCCCACTTGGAACTCTTGATCAGCAATGTCTTTAGGGCTGGGTAGCTGGTTCATCCTCTGATTGCCCTTTTTTATGTAGCCTGGGTAAGCCTACTTCTACAGAGTTAACGCATGGTGGGTGCTGCAGTCAAGGCAACAGGGAGGAGTGCCAACACAGTGATACAATATTGACTGTGATGGTCAACCCAGCATCCTTCAAGGAACACTGCCGAAAGGGCTATGAGCTTTTCACGACAGGGGAGGTTCTTTGTGTATCAGGAGATAGAGCCTAGTAGGGGGCACTTGCGTGCCTCAATATCCTTTCACTGCGCTACGCTCTCTCTGCCCTAAGGAGGAGTAAACAGCCAAGAGTTTGGTAGATGTGGATTCTGGATTTTATACCCCGTAAATTACTTGAGTCTCGGTTACTAGATTCTGAAATTTAAGAGGCAGAGTCTGTAAACATGTAGAGGCTACCTATTTCATTTGAAAATTATTTTTAGGAAGGACCATCCTTAATTCATCTCACTGTAGCTTGATTTTACCTGATCTTTTCAACTCAGCTCTGTTTCAGAAACGGGAACGTGGTTTCCTTCCTCTCACAGACTATTATTTCCACTAAATATAAGAGACAGGGAAAATCTTGTCAAGACAGAGTGTCTGCTGGTACCTGAATCCGTTCCAATTTGAATTATAGATGAAGAATGCTTCACTAGTTCTGCACGTTTCCAAATGATATCCTAACTCTCAGGAATACTCAAGCCCTGAAGATTGACATGACACACTTCAAGTACTTTCAAATATATCAACCTTTGCCTCAACAGAAATTTAAATGGAGTTACAAAAATGTGTGCCATGCTGATTTCTCAGGGAAGTAGAGCATGAGACACTACTTCTATAGAAAAGACCGGCACACAACGTTGGCAAGGGCGTAGGCTTGTCATCCCTTGAAAACCATAGGAACACCATCATCTATAGCTGAAAGTGAGATAGCCGTTGCTGATCCCTATAATGAAGGATGGGCAGCCTGCCACTGAAAAGACAAGGCCGAGAAGCCACCAGAGAAGGCAGACGTGCAGAGCAGCAGTTAGAAGAAGGAAATGTGCTGGGAGGGACGCGGGAAGAAGACAGGATGCTGGCTATGCAGGGGGTTCCACACAATCAGGACAGCTTTCTCTTCGAAACTTCTACTTACATTTCCGCCCCCAGCTGAATGCGTGATGTTATCTTTGGAACCACAGCGGGACTGAACCTTGCTAAGATCGATCTTCTTGTTTAAAATCCTAACCTAAAAGGAATTGGAGGTAACTTCACTATGCATGTTTCTTTCCACACGTCGGGTAGAAGAAACCAGGGCGGGTAGCACCACAGAAGATCCAGAGTGGCTTTCGTCTACATACTCAGGCAGGAGGAAAAACTAACACCAAGAGTTGAGAGCAGATCGGCCCCATCAACATGCGCTACCGAACCCCCTTCCTTGCACACCCCAGAGCCAAATGTTTAAGACTTGCTGCAGGCAGATGTGATCTGGACATAACCAAAAGGACACAACATAACTACATTTCAAACACATCTGATGGGGAACTTGCAATGTCTAGCCAGCACTGGGATTCGAGTCCACTCTATGGAAGTACCAGAAGTGGAATTTATCCCATGACCTTTATGATAATTACAGCACCCCCTCTCAAGAAACACGACGCCAGTCTGTACAATCATTCATCATGTTGCATGCTTGACTTGACTGTCCTTTTGGTCCACATGGCACAGGTGAGGTCCATAATTAATCTGGATTTATTTTACAAATTGGGGCTCTGATTCATTCCGAAAAGGTCCCCTGGTGTTCTAAGAGGGTCCGCACGAAAGTCCACGGCGGCTTCATTGAAATGAGTGTATAATTCCCTTGCAAGTCTGGCTCAGTGGCCTTCCGAAGGGCTGTCTTGGCAGGCTGCTCTAGAGGAGACATCAGCCCTGTATGGTCAGTGTAGAAGCCTTCTTTCCACTCTCGAGATGCCCGAACCCAGGCTCAGTGGGTAGCTGACTTGCACGCAGCAGCCCAGGCCTTGGGTTGAATCCGGCAGAGTAAGTATCGTATCATTTTCAAGAGAGCAAGCAGTCATCTTCAGGAGAACCACAAATCGAGATCTGGGAAAACATGACTCACTGATGCTGCCAGTCAGCTTTTAATTCGTCCCCTCTAAATGCTAAAGAAAAATCATGTTTGTAATGCTTTTAGGGATAGTTTATAATTCTATTGATCAAAAAAGGAACTATAGAAATGTATCCCTGATATTCTGCTGTCACCAAGAATGGTATTACTTCTCTACGGTATTTGCATAAAAGAGTAGGAAAATGGAGGACATCCAGTCCCGAACTATTTTAAACTAAAAACAGCCTAAATGGTAATGTCTGCCTAACACTGAGAAGATAGCTTGTCCCTTACAGGGACATATCTTTGACAGCTTTCCTCAGCAGCCCCAGGGAAGGGCCTCATGTCAAAACACGAATTCAGAAGACACGATGATTGGACTGTTCCTGAGGATCTGAAAATAACAACTTAAAAAAGGCAGAATCACCAAGAGCGTCTAGATCTAATAATAAATAAGCTCTTCATTTAGGAATTTCACATAAATTATAGATGCAATTACAGATGCAAGTTTCAGCTAGTGAAGACCACTACATTTCAAACCTCAATGACTCTTTTCAGAAAGCATATAATTTTGATTAACAATCATAATGCTAATTATTCTCCACAAGGATCTAATAGTTTTCCTATGAAATAGAATTCATCTGAACCCTGTTACTCACCCTTGGGGGTAATTCGGCATCCGAAATTTTCTTGATAGGTTTTAGTTCAGAGATCATTACAGTAATCAACCAAGCAACTCCTCACCAAGTGCTCGAAAGCTAAATGCTAAATCTAATTCACTCGCGGAAACCATGGAAATTCCAAATTCAGTTGAGCAAATTTACGTGACTTTAACATTCAATTCACTATTTGTTTGGTGATTTCCAAAACAAACGATGCAATCCCCAAGAGGCCATGCTGCCAGCGTGATTCAGCGATGACTTCCACTCGCAATCTCTCAGAATTGAAAAGCTGACTTCTGTAGCTTTGCCACATATTTTCATGGAGCCACAGAGTTTCTATGAAACGACCACCTTTCTGAGGGCAGTTTGTTTTCAGTCTCTTTCAGTATCATGCAACATGCCGGACGGACTTTGGACATGAATTAAAGGCATGCACTTTGTGTATTCCCTTACTTGCAAATAGTGTCACTATATAAAGATTTTCTCTAAAATGAAGGAATGTATGATAGAATCAATATAAATGATCTCTTTAGACCATGATTCACCACACTGATTGATGGCTGAGTAAGGAGAAATAAGACCATGGGTGCACAAGGTGTTTGCTGCCTAGCTCAATGACCTATTTAGTCCTGAGCACCCACTTAATTCATGTGACTCCCATTGATGCTCTAGAAAAATTACAAATTACTGTTTATCAAAATCCCAGGGGCCACTTACAAATAATTCGCCCTTAAAATCAATCCCCAAATACCAAGTCATTAGGAATTATACCCTAAAATATGAAAATAGAGGACTGCTATGAAAGTTGTGATTTCTCCAACTCCACTTTACTTTTCTCATCAAAGTTTTCAGTTGTAGCTCTTTAGTCTGTATGGATGGGCTAAAATAACAGATTTGTTAGCAAGATTTTTTTTTCAACTTCTGTTTTCTAACAACCTTCTTTAAGAAAAAACTACTGACATCTTAGATACAGTCTAGGAAAAGTAAAACTTGTATGAGGCAAATGAACTAATTTACTATAGTCAAGAAACAGTGAAAAAAACATTTCTGTAATTATTACCTAAATTATCCTTCAACCACATTTTAATCTTTTAATCATTAGTTTCCCTGCATTATTTTTTCGTATATTATTAGTGCAAAACTGGGAGATGAGGGATTGTGTGCCTATGTTTTCTCCTGCATCTGTCACAGGGAGAGTGAAATGTGTGTGATCAGTCAGCTGGATCATCTTCTTAAAGCTCTGCACTGCTCAAAACCTCCCCAAGTTCTGTATTGCCTGTGAATGAGTTCAGGCCCCTGGGTGAGGGCATCTCAGTTTTCAGCAATTGTGACAATGCACCCTTCTCTTTTGTTCTGCCTCTATTACGTCTGACCAGGCTGGGTTACACACCAAACTTCTGTGAAATGAACCATCTTAATTCTCCTTGGCTCTAGACTCCTGTGGTCTATGGAGTCGGGGTGTCCTATCAAGGCCATTTCCACGTTCATGTTCTTTTGGGTTAGCAGCCTGGAAGAATCTGATTTCCTAAAGTTGCCTTTATGTTACCAATTTTGGAAAGCAAGAATTCCAGGAATGAATAGAAGCTGGGTTGATGGTCAATTTTCCCTGTAAAAGACTTCAGGCTCCATTCCCGTAACAGTGTTGATTGGATGGGTTAAGACACTGGAGGTTTTCTTGTCTTGGAAACATTTTTGACTCTTTAGTTGAAATGTTACCTTGCTTTACAAATGGTATTTTCAATAAACTTCAAGTGATATTATTGGCTTAGTATGAGTTTTATTTTAATAGAGTGAAGCCTTTGTTTGTATTTTTAGGCTTATTCCTGTGTTTTCTTTATGCTGTTATCCCTTTGGAATGCCCTCATTCCAAGTCCAGCCTGCAAGAGTAGTCTATCCTTTAAAGTTCAGTGCATCGATCCCTCTAAAGAATTTCAATCTCAGTAGTTTCATGCTTGGTCAAACAGCAGGTCAGCAAAAGACAAACAAACCATCCAACAGATGGACGGACAGCGGCCGACACAAGGGCGCAAACATAATGATTGTGAGGATGGCACAGGACCGAGCAGTGTTGTGTTCTGTTGTGCATAGGACTGTTATGAGCTGGGACGGACTCTACAGGACCCAATAACAGCAGCAGTATTATGCAAATCTTGGCACCTTATTTGCATAAACGGTGGCCTTTCACTCATGCAAAATCCATATTACGAAGTGAGAATTATAAGTTATCATAATTAAGAAATGAATGATCTTGAATTAACTTAGTCTATGCTGGGGAATAGGCCATGCTAAGGAAGGACACTGCAGGGCCATTGACTTGATTCTGATTCGTACAGCCCCACTGGGAGGGAGTAGAACGGCTCCTTAGCGTTTATGAGACTAAATTTTCATGGAAGCAGACAGCCTCATCTTTCTCCCTTGGAATGGCTGGTCAGTTGCGGTTTGTCCACACTGTGAGGGTTTCAATAGCACTTTAGCTGTTTTATTTTATCCTCATGCTGCTGTCGTGGAAAGATCTGCCATTGCCCTCTCTGTCTACGAGTTTAATTGCTCATGTGGAGAAATTAATTTTTTCCCCTAACATGGGGTCACTCTAGGAAAACAGGAAGACAAAACACAGGCTTGAGTCTAAACAAGAAGACATTTTTCTCATTAGAGATTAGGCAGAATCATGAACCAAATGCAACCAAAGAAAAGAAAATCTAATTTATAAATTCTAGGAAAACAACTTGTAATCAAAGGAAAGAAATCCTCACGTCAATTTGAATTTATGTCATGCTGATTGTAATGTGGTAATGTTTCTGCTTTTTAAATCAAAGCACCTATACATGGGCTCTAGGTGGCAAGGTGGGTAGAGTACCAGGTTCTGTTCTTGGCTGGCCCCCAGCTCGTTCTCCTTCTCAGCCCTGCGTTGCATATGAACCACGCTGCAGAACCAGCGCTCTCTTCCTCCGTCGGAATGCTTTTGTGAAAGGGTAACGCACAGTAACACTTGGCTCACATCACACTACCGTGCAGGGTTTAAGCTTCTCTTTGGATCTGCATCTTTTCTCAGGAGTGCTTAGATGAAACCCTCCTTTGTGTATTATAAAAACACTATTTTTTGGCCCTTTCAAATGCATTTCTTATTCTGAAACATTCAGTCTTCACAAAAACTATTGTCACCGCCCGAACACACACCTGAGGCTTCATACACTACAACACATGAAGATTGCATTCTCTATTCGCAAAGACCCCAGTGCTCTAACACAGATGATACTCTAAATATTTGCCCTTGCCTTCTGGTTACAATGCCTTCGGATATGTTAATAGTATAGTCCAATCAGAATAAAAATTACCCTTGCTACACAGACCAAGAGTCTACTCACAATGAGTGAAATCAGGTATGAATAATACATATATTTATGTATTTAGAAATGATAGTTTACATAAACATGCACCATTCCACAGAACTCTCAAAGGACAAGAGAAGTTGGAGGATCC